TTGAGGTAGGACTGTGAGTTGTGTGTTCTGTGGTAGTGCATTCCTATGATGCCAGCTTTGAGGTAGGACTGTGAGTTGTGTGTTCTGTGGTAGTGCATTCCTATGATCCCAGCTTTGAGGTAGGACTGTGAGTTGTGTGTTCTGTGGTATTGAGTTCCTATGACCCCAGCTTTGAGGTAGGACTGTGAGTTGCTGATGAGCCTGGGCTACATAAGGTTAGTTTAAGTTAGGTAGTAATGTTCTGTCTCAAAAGTAAACAAAAACTGAACACTTTTTTGTTTGTAATAGTTTTAGATTTACAGAATAATCATGAAGATGGTGTGCATTCAGTTCTCTTCCTTTGATTGCTTAGTGTGACACATTTGTCAAAATTAATGACCTAATATGTCAACATGTTTGCTATATATTTTTAGTTTTTAATTTAGGCCCCCTTTTGATATTAAGAGCTCTTTTTAGGTACTGCATTACATTGTAACATAACAGTGAAAAAAGTTCACTTAGATTGTATTATTGTTCGATGGGACTGTAGTTTCTTTGAATGCAGATAAATGGGAGGCTTAGGAAAAAAATGAGATTTTTCTCCCCTTTTCGTGGGTCTGTGTAAGGTTAGGAAACAACCAAAGAAAAATAATTACCCTTTTCAGAAGTGGTCAGAGTTGTGTTAGAAAGACTAGTGTCAGGGCTGGAGATGGCTCAGTGGTTAAGAACACTGGCTGCTCTTCCAGAGGTCTTGAGTTCAATTCCCAGCAACTACAAGGTGGCTTGCAACTATCTGTTATGGAATCCAATGTTCTCTTCTGGTGTGTCTGAAGACGGTGACAGTGTACTCACATATGTAAAATAAATAATCTTTAAAAAAAAGATGTATAGAAAGACTAGCGTGGTAGTATTCTGATTTTCCCTGCTCTAGACTGCTATGCTCTGTAGGCCTGCCACTTAGTTACCAGTTCTTGTTTTTTAATGTGTATATATGCCAGTGCTCACAAGCAGTCCTGGAGGACAGTGCCTTGAGCCTCAGAACTAAATGGTGAAAAAGTTGAGCTTCAGTGTATTTTCTTCCTCAAACTTTCACTGTTGGCTTAGTAGATTTTGTTGTTATTGTCCTTGATATACATATATATGTTCTTGGTAACTTCTTGATACTGTGAACAAATAATACAGCCTCATCATACAGACAGTCCTTTCTCTACAGAGTAGTTTAGGGAAGTAAAAATGGCTATGAAACTTGTTCAAAACAATTAGTAAATGAAAAAGTTGCTAGATCTTTGAAAATGTCAAGACATTAAAATCCCTGGATGACTACAAAGGTGAAAAAAATAGTAAAATTAATAATTGGCATAACAAACATAGTAAGGACATTACAGTTTCTTTTTTCTTTTCTGTGTTTTTTTTTTTTTTTTTCAAAACAGGTTCTCAGTATGTAATTTTGGCTGTCCTGGATCTCACCGAGATCCACCTGCCTCTGCTTGTGGAGGGATTACCACCACTCCCAGTTAGTTTTATTTTTTGATAAAGCATTTGCCGGATGTCCTTTGAATCCAACTCTCTTCTAGTTAAGTTAGGATACAGAACAAGGAGCTTCCTTTTTTACGATGTGGTGAGCAGGTGACTCTTTTGGAGGTTTCCTAGGAAACCTCCAAAATATTCTCATTTTACGCTATTCTGCCTAGTATTGTGCCTAGTGCTATGTCCCAGCACAAATTTCTTTTTAATTTGGTACAGGGTACCCCTAAGTTGCCTAACCATTCCTTGAACTTATGAGTCTCCTGCCTAAGCCTTCCAGATAGCAGAGGTTACAGGTCTGTAGCATCAGGCCTATGTGAAGTTGTTCTTTCCTTACAACCATGTTTTCCATTTGAGTAGGTGAAGTTGCCAGGAAGTGGAGGTGGAGAATCTGGAGCTCAAGATCATCCTTTGCTACATAGTTTTGTTTTTTTTTTTTCTTTTTTTCTCCAGTCTATAAAGTACGTGGGGACCTGAATTAAGATCTCCATAACCCACATAAAGCTGGGGATGGAGGTGTTGTCCATCTGTAACCCAGTGCTTGGCATGGTGTGGGTAAGACAGGTAGATTTTAGAGCTCATTAACCAACCGTACTTACCAATCACTAAGCTCCAAGTTCAGTAGGAAGCACTGTCTCAAAAAAGTGAAGAAGCTGTTGAGGAAGACATTTGATGTAGACCTCTGGCCTTTACATACACACATGTACTCTATGTAATGATAGCACAGTAGAGTAGCATAAGTTTGGGTTCGTTGGGGTTGATGTGCTTACAGAAACCCATGCAGATGGGAACCATTCATAGCAAGGGCTACATAACTATGGAAACATTCACTTAGTAATTAGTTTGGGAACTATTTAACATAAAACTTACAGGTAGATGGAAAATATGTTGACTAGAATAATAAGATTTGTTGTTTGAGAACTACTGTGAAGTAAATCTGAACTATGTGGAAGATGAGCTGTTAGGACTAGGTTTGGGAGTGGTGTATTGCTTACAGAGTGTAGTTTATTTGTGTGAGAATAAATGTTATTTTCAGTTTAAGTTGGAACTTAGCAAATATTCAGACTGTAGAAGAGTAATTTTTTCGTCATCCATAAGGTTTTTATACATGTTGAAATAATAGTTGTAATAGACAGTATAATACAGATCTGTCTTTTAAGCCAACTTGAGATGTAAACTATTTAAGTCTATGTAATAAGTACAGTTTACTGGAGTTTGGTATATTTAGAGGTGTGTGAAGTAGAATAAGGTTAAAAGAAAAAGGCCAGTCAGATGCTGATTTATTGATTTATTTAGTGCTTTAACTTAAGCACTGCTTGTACTGGTTATTTATCAGTCATGACTTGTTGCTACCTGAAACAATGGGTCATTGCCCTTAACAGTTTGCTGACTGCCACATCACCTTCTGTAAAACCTCACTTGCTTTCTCATTCTACCCTGTGGTTGAGCATAAGATAAAATGCAAACTGGTCCTGAGACTGACGCCTTTCAGGAGCTGTCCTGACTCTGGTCCATTGCTGAAATCTCTTCCACTCTCACTGGTGTCAGAGGGCTTTTTCCAGGACATGTTCCCAACGTGTACCGTTTCTTAGGAAGTAATTCTAAACACACTAGCACTGTCCTATTTCCCCCAGTATCTAGAAGCTTCCAGATTTCTTTCTGTCCTAGTAGATTTGCCTCTTTTTGTCTTTTCATGTGTGTGAAATCATGTTCTTGTTTATGTTCTTTTTTTATGGTCTTTATATTCACCTTGTTCCCTCTGTTAGGGCTTGAATATGACTACCCTTGTCAA